AGCCAGCACAGCTGGCTGGGGGATTCTGGGAGTTGAAGTCCACACATCTTAACGTTCCCAAGGTTGGGAAACACTGCTGTTAACTGATCAGAGGTCCTTGGAACCACATCAGCTGTAGAGTTCTGAGCCTCTTCTGTTCTCTGGGCTTCCATCACTGGGGTGCTCCTTTAATTAAAATTAATTCCCTTCCTGTTCCCACCTTTATAAAGGGAAGGAGGAGGGATGAGGAGTAGAGAGTGGGAATCTGCCACTTTGGCGTGCCATGGAATCACCGAAGGAGGGAGAAGATGGTTAGCTGTTCATGGTGGCTGAAAGTGGAGATGTTGAGGCCAGAAGCTGTATCTGAGATGGGCGGTCAAGGTGTTGCACTGGCCCTGGGAGAACCTGGTTCTGGTCTACCCACTGAGTGACTTTGGGCCGGTCCTGCCACCGTCCATCCGACCCATTTTACAGGGTGATGGTTATAGGGAAAAATGGGAGGAGGAAAAGCTGCAGCTCCATTTCTGGAAATTATAAACTGGATGAAAGATCGATCGAGTGGTTCTTGAGGGTTGAGTTAGGAAAGAGCTCAAAATATAAATAAACTGTTACGGTCTATTTTGCAACAGACAGGCAGGAAGCGCCTCCAGACCTAGAAAGCCACAACATCACACTATCAGAGGACAAAAAGACAACTTTATATGCAAATAAAACTTCAGAGGAGGGGGAAGCGGAAGGAACGTTACATGCTGGTCAAAAATATATCAGGCACTGATTATGGGAAAGAGATTACGCAAATAAGAGCCGTTATGAATCGAGACAGTTTAGATCAGTGTTTTTCAAACTTGGCAGCTTTAAGATGTGTGGACTTCAACTCCCAGAATTCCCCAGTTTGAACAACACTGGTTTAGATGAAGAGGGCTATCCATATAAAGGACGGAATAACATTTTAAGTTTTAGTAAATGTGATTAAAACATGGAAAAATAACTTAAATGCAAAATTTCTGGCAAAGAAAATTAGTTTTTTAATCTCTTTTTCAGTCCTGTTGCCCCTTGCAGAGTGTAACTTTAGGAAGACACCAGCCAGGGTATGGTTAGTCCAGAGCTGTGTTTCTCAACCTTGGCAACTGTAAGAAGAGTGGA